AACTTCACTCTTTCTCTGCTTTCTAAATCTAACATTTGGTGCCCAAACCTGGGAGGGTTTTTGAAGACCCTGCTGGTAGCCCTGGACAGTCCTCCTGGAACCTCCTTGGCTTTCCTACTGTTCTTGTCTCTTCTGTTCTATGTAAACCCAGGTCAAGCTCCTAGGAGAAGGCCAGGACAATCTTTCACTTTTTCCTTCCACTCCCTGCTCTCCCCTTTTTCTGAAACCTTTCAAGACCTTCAGGCAATAGGCCACTCTCCATTTGCCTTGGATTCACATCCACCACTTGGGAACAAGGTAACCATCTACTGAGCTGGACATGGAGATGACCTATCAGGTCTTGGGAACCCTGGGGGTTCCCTCCATTTTCCATTGGTCCTAAGACTTAGTGACTCAGAAGCTCTGGGAGCTTCCCACTGGTCCCTTGTCTTTTGACCTTCTTAGACTCTATGAGGCAGAGGCTGCCCACTACTATTCCTAAGCATTTTTCTGAACCCCAGGTTCTGAAACCCAGCTCTGGGGGCTGGATCTAACCTTCATTCCATATTTACCTTGTTCACAACCCACCAAGTCCAAATTGCTCCAAAATATACACCTTTAGCCTATCTCAGGGCTAATAAAAGAGCTCTATTTGCAAGATCTCATGCCAGCCACACTTTTTCAGTTCTCAGTACGAATATGGTCCTGTTACACAGTAGTCAATGGCCTTCACTGGCCCGAATTCAGATCTTTGATTTCAATACGCTAACCGATTTACACAACTTTATCAAATGAAATGGAGATGGTTTGAGGCGCCCTGCCTCCTGTAACCCTTGCTCTGCTTTTCAAAGTCTTCTCTGTCTTTTTTTTTTTTTTTTCATCCTGCCTTTGCTTTCACTGTCACACAGTTTACTCTGACAAGTCTTGCCATCTAAAGTTCATGCAAGCCACATTCCAGCTTCATCCCTCCTCCCTCCTCCCAAATGGTTTTATTGGTTCTTTGCCCCGTACAGTTCCAGGGCTTTGCTCTGTGGCTGGCACCCTGGCCCAGGCCCCCAAAAGCCAGTTTGGCCAAAAACAGGGTTTTTGTTTATTTCTTTCTCTCCTTTGTGATTCTAGCTTTCCTCTTTTGTCTGTTCCTGTGGGTATGGTCAGGGTCTTCAGTCTGCAGATTTTTCTCTACAGCTCTGGCTGGAGAGATGACTCAGAAGTTAAAAACACTTGGTGCTCTCCAGAGGACCAAGGTTGGATCCCCAGCACCTGAACCTCACTATTTTTTTCCTGTCCCTTACAATATAATTCCTCTTTCTTATTTTCATTTAATTCAACTGCTTTTAGACTTTTAAAAGAAACTGTTTTAGATTTTTCCACTCAATTCCGGTTTATTTTCAGGTTTCCTGCCTCCTAAGAAACTGCCTTCTTCTACACTTTAGCTCCCACTTTGTCGTTGGGATCTTCCTCCACCCCTTCGCCCTTGCCTTCACTGTCACCCTCATAAAATTTATTGTGAACTTCAATTTAATAAGATTTTTCACTCTAATGCCTACACTCATCTAAAATCTAAAACTCTCTAAGCTACATTTTCTATTAAGTTCACCTGGGACCCTACAAAGCCCCAGTCTGTACAGAGATACTATTAATTCATTACATTATCTTTTATATTTAATTCTGATTCCATGTTCTTTTAGTATAATAATGGCATAGAGTTCTCTCTTCAGAATCAAACCACTGTCTTCTTTATGATTTCATCTGTGCCTGCTTTCAAAAGATCATCATAATCAAAGTTGTTAATTATCAGGTTTTAAGTGTACCTAATTTTCATGTAATTATGTCATATATATGTCTTCATGTGTAGAGAGCTTATGTAATCCTGCCCTGTATGTCTATAATAATTGTATTTGCCTTCATATGTTTGTTTCAAGACAATTTTAAACTGTGGCCACTTCAGTTTTTTCCTTTCTTATTCCTTTTATAGTACACAAAAATTATTGTTTTGATTTTTTGGCATGACTAATCAAAATACACATTAATAGATTTATAAATATGAGTATTTTGATAATACATTCAAATAATAAATTTGGGTACCTTAAATTTATTAAACAATTTGGGTACACTTTAAAATCTATTAAACAATATTTCCAGGTCTACTAATTATTTCACAAAAATTTTA